CGGCCTGGCCAGCGGCAGCGCTGATCGACGGGGCGGCCGCGGACCGTCGACCTCGACCCGACCCCAAGAGGGACGGACAGGGGACCGACCACGACGACGACGACGACGACGACGTCGACGACGACGGCAACGACGGCGACGGCGACGACGACGACGAGCGAAAGCGAGAGCGAGAGAGAACGACAGCAGGGCCACGAAGGGCACGAAGTAGGCCACGAAGGGTGACAGCGGGGACACGAAGGGAATGCGTATGGGGCCACGAAGAGCGCGAACGAGCGTGGGCCACGAAGGGCAGACAATGCGGGGCCACAGAAGGCAACGATGGGGCCACTGAGGGTAGCACCTGGGCCACGTAGGACAATGAGGGGGTAACAAACGGCGACAGCGGGGCCACGAAGGGCATGCACATGGGGCCACAACGGGCGCGAACGAGGGGGGGCCACGAAGGGCATACGTATGTTGGGCCGCGGAGGGTACGGACGGGGCCGCTCAGGGCAGCAACAAGGACATGAAGGGCAGCGAGGGGGCCACGAAGGGCGACAGCGGGGCCACGAAGGGCATGCATATGGGGCCACCACGGGCGCGAACGAGCAGGGGCCACGAAGGGCATACATATATGGGGCCACGAAACAAAGCGAGGGGGCCACGAAGGGCAACGGGACCACGAAGGGCAGCGAGGGGGCCACGAAGGGCTGCAACGGGGCCACGAAGGGCCGCAACGGGGCCACGAAGGGCAACGAGGAGGCCACGAAGGGCTGCAACGGGGCCACGAAGGGCAGCGAGGGGGCCACGAAGGGCTGCAACGGGGCCACGAAACAAAGCGAGGGGGCCACGAAGGGCTGCAACGGGCGGGGCCACGAAGGGCAACGAGGAAGCCACGAACGGCAGCGAGGGGGCTACGAAACAAAGCGAGGGGGCCACGAAGGGCTGCAACGGGGCCACGAAACAAAGCGAGGGGGCCACGAAGGGCTGCAACGGGGCCACGAAGGGCAGCGAGATCCCGATTCCTAGGTAATTTGTGAAGGAGTCCTAAGCGTGAGCGCGACTCCTGGGTGCCTGGGTGTCGGGAGCGCGGCGCTGGAGTAAATTGCAAGAAATTCCAACGCAAGGGCGCTACTCTTCAGTAACTTGCAAGCAAATCTCCACCGAGAGCGCCACTTCAGAGCGCAGGGGGAGCGATTCCTCAATAAATCGTAAGGAAGTCCCAAGCGAGAGCGCGATTCCTGAATAAAATGTGAGGAAGTCTCGCACGGGAGCAAGGGTCCTGGCTAAATTGTAAGGAAGTCTCAAGCGGGAGCCGTTGTTGTTGTAACCCAGGGGCCAAGGGCCCAGTTTGAGCAGGAAGACTTTCCTCTACAAAAAACAAAGTGCGAACCCCCGGGGGGGGGCACTTCAACTTAAAAAATCAATGTGCACCGGTGGGGGGGATCAACAATAAGTATTCTTTAGGAATGAGAGTTCAACAACAACAACAACAACAACAACAACAACAACAACAACAACAACAACAACAACAACAACAATAATTTCAAGACTGTTCGCCCTTATCTGCTCGAGTGCCCAATAACGCCTACTTCCCAAACCCTCGATACCCGCCCTCTTCGTCTTCGATCGAACCCCTTTTGGGGGGTATACGTTTCTTCCCTGCAGGCCGGGCCCCGGCAAGCGGAGGGAGGCCTCAGCCTTGGCGTCTACGGCCCAGGAGTCTTCGGCATTGGACCTGGGCCCTGGAGCCCCATACGCTGCGGAGCTCGGCCCTCATGAGCCCACGGCTCCGAAATCCAGAACCTGGAATGTAAGGCTCATGAGCCGTGGGCCCTGGAGTCTAGGGCCTGGGAGTCTGAAGCCCTGGAGTCGTTTTGTTATACAACTCCCCAAGACGCCGTCTTGGAGACGAAGGTTGTGGAGCTCCGGGGTGTGGGTGGGCGACGAACGTCAGACAATTTCGGCGCGCGCAACACTCTAGACTCTACCCCCGCCACCTTGCGGTTGCCAAACACGGCACTCCCGCTCAGCTGCTTACAACTCTGGCCCACGCCGAAGTAAAATATCCTGGCGAAGGACCCAACCATATGCAGTTGTGAGTATCGCAATTGTGAATATCTTCTTCGGTGGCGCTCCCTATGGGGCCACGAACCGCATGAGGGGTGTGCCGAAATGTGGCGGGGTACACAACGCAAAGGAATACGATAGATCTGATTACGAGAGAAAGAACGCGGGTGAGTCAGAGCGCGAGGGAATCTGAGTATGAATGGGTCTGCGCGCGAGTGAATATATTTGCATGAATGCGATCGTGGAACCGCCTAGTGTAAGTGTCGAGCATGCCTGTCCGAACACACGTGACACTGGGCGTGGCCGCCGCAGGCAGCTTCCGCGGGAACCCCGACGGCAGCGTCCGCACGTCGCGACGCCCATGTCGGCACGCCTCTTGCGAGGATCGCGCCCGCTTTCGGCTCTTCTTTTCCTTCCTCTTTGCCCGCGCACTCCAAAATCCAAGGCTGCGGGCGCAGCGCAGCGCGGAGTCCCCGCGACGCGCGCTGGTCGCCCCGGGCGGGGTCCCAGCGACGCGCGCGGGTCGTCCGCTGCGCGAAGCAGAGAGAGCTGACTAGCTAACTGGCTGGCTGATAGCGGGCAAGTCTCTGACCGCTGGGCAGAGCGACGACGGGCGAACGAGGCGCCGGGCCCCCCGCAGCACGGAGTTCCCGCGACGCGCGCTGGTCGCCCCGAGAGGGTCCCAGCGACGCGCGCGGGTCGTCCGCGGCGCGAGGCCAAACAATTAGTCGGGCAGTCGAGAGAAGGCGCGGCTCGGGGGAGACGCTCCTCAGGTCAGGCCTCGCGGATGAACTCGGTGAAGCCGAGCTCCCTGGCGAGGGCCGTCGCTTCCCTCCTGCACCGCTTCGTGCGCGCCGCAAACTGCTCCAGCTGCTTCCGCAAGCCCTGCGGCGGCCCTGCCAGGAAGAACTCGATGCGCGGCGCCCGCATGAGCAGGAGGTCCTCGTGGCGCGTGGCGCGCGAGAGCAGCACGTAGAGCTCCAGCCACCAGTCGTCGTCCTCCTTCTTGCCGTTCCCTACCTCGTGGCGGCCGCAATCCAGGATCACGCCTGGGCGACGTCGACCGAGGGAGCAGCGCGCCGGGCAGCCGACGGCCCAGGGCGAGAGTCCACAGGACCGAGAGATGGTCTGGCCGCGGACTGCTCGCGCCCCGGAGGTCTGGCCGCCCCCGGAGCGCCGTTCCCCCGCCCCGTCGCCTTCGCGCATGGTGCGCCCCTGGCACGCCACCGTGGTGATGACCCTGCCGTGCGAGAAATGCGGGGGGTGTGCCGAAATGGGTGGGGGTGACGCATGCGGGCGGCGGCACTGAGGCCTTCGGTGGAGCTCCCTATGGAGCCACGAAACGTGTGAGGGGTGTGCCGAAATGGGTGTGGGTGGACGCATGCGGCCGCGGGCACTGGGGCCTTCGGTGGAGCTCCCTATGGAGCCACGAAACGTGTGAGGGGTGTGCCGAAATGGGTGTGGGGGACGCATGCGGCCGCGGGCACTGGGGCCTTCGGTGGAGCTCCCTATGGAGCCACGAAACGTGTGAGGGGTGTGCCGAAATGGGTGTGGGGGACGCATGCGGCCGCGGGCACTGGGGCCTTCGGTGGAGCTCCCTATGGAGCCACGAAACGTGTGAGGGGTGTGCCGAAATGGGTGTGGGGGACGCATGCGGCCGCGGGCACTGGGGCCTTCGGTGGAGCTCCCTATGGAGCCACGAAACGTGTGAGGGGTGTGCCGAAATGGGTGTGGGGGACGCATGCGGCCGCGGGCACTGGGGCCTTCGGTGGAGCTCCCTATGGAGCCACGAAACGTGTGAGGGGTGTGCCGAAATGGGTGTGGGGGACGCATGCGGCCGCGGGCACTGGGGCCTTCGGTGGAGCTCCCTATGGAGCCACGAAACGTGTGAGGGGTGTGCCGAAATGGGTGTGGGGGACGCATGCGGCCGCGGGCACTGGGGCCTTCGGTGGAGCTCCCTATGGAGCCACGAAACGTGTGAGGGGTGTGCCGAAATGGGTGTGGGGGACGCATGCGGCCGCGGGCACTGGGGCCTTCGGTGGAGCTCCCTATGGAGCCACGAAACGTGTGAGGGGTGTGCCGAAATGGGTGTGGGGGACGCATGCGGCCGCGGGCACTGGGGCCTTCGGTGGAGCTCCCTATGGAGCCACGAAACGTGTGAGGGGTGTGCCGAAATGGGTGTGGGGGACGCATGCGGCCGCGGGCACTGGGGCCTTCGGTGGAGCTCCCTATGGAGCCACGAAACGTGTGAGGGGTGTGCCGAAATGGGTGTGGGGGACGCATGCGGCCGCGGGCACTGGGGCCTTCGGTGGAGCTCCCTATGGAGCCACGAAACGTGTGAGGGGTGTGCCGAAATGGGTGTGGGGGACGCATGCGGCCGCGGGCACTGGGGCCTTCGGTGGAGCTCCCTATGGAGCCACGAAACGTGTGAGGGGTGTGCCGAAATGGGTGTGGGGACGCATGCGGCCGCGGGCACTGGGGCCTTCGGTGGAGCTCCCTATGGAGCCACGAAACGTGTGAGGGGTGTGCCGAAATGGGTGTGGGGGACGCATGCGGCCGCGGGCACTGGGGCCTTCGGTGGAGCTCCCTATGGAGCCACGAAACGTGTGAGGGGTGTGCCGAAATGGGTGTGGGGGACGCATGCGGCCGCGGGCACTGGGGCCTTCGGTGGAGCTCCCTATGGAGCCACGAAACGTGTGAGGGGTGTGCCGAAATCGGTGTTGATGATGATGATGATGATGATGGGAGGGGGGAGGAGGCAGCGGGAGGAAGGGAGGAAGGGAGGAAGGAAGGAGAACGCGGGGCACCGTCTCTTCAAAACGAGGACCCAACGCCACAGGATGGTTGGGAAAAAGCACCCGCCCACATGGGGTAGAGGGACAGGGAAGAGGAGGACGAGGGGGAAAGAGAGAGAGAGAGAGAGGAAGAGAAGAACGACCTGAACAGCGTCATTCGCACCAGCTCGTGTGAGGTGTCATGCGCACCAGATCACGTGAGAAGTGTGAGATTGGAGCCTGGAAAAATGACGCCAGGGTGAAAATCGCACGCATGTGTCGATACGGTTCCAACTCCTCCTCTTGCGGTGCCGCCTGCTGCTGATGGCCCTGGCGGGCTGGCGCAGCCGGCGAGGCGCCGGCAGCAAGGGCCTGGCTGCCCACGTCGAAGCGGGTTAGTCCGGACAGATGCTGCTGTGCGAGGCTCTCGGTGGGGAGCGCCCTCAGCCGGCCCGCCTCTCGAGAGATGAGGCTGCTGACCCTCGTGTGGGCAGCCGCCCCCCCCCCGCCGCTGCAGAAACATGGGCAGCTTGGCGCCACCATGCATGACAGGTCTCAGCATGATGCGCGGACACTCGTGGCCCGAAGCACACCTCCTGCGTCGGCGGCGCGAACCGTCACCGACCCTCCTCCTCCTCCTCCTCGTCCTCCTCCTCCTCCTCCTCCTCCTCCTCCTCCTCCTCCTCCTCCTCCTCCTCCTCCTCCTCCCCCCTCACCCTCCCCACGCCCGCCATCGTCTGCCGTCCCGCCCGAGGCGCGCGGCGCCGAGGGCAGGGCGGAGATGGGTCCGGAGCCCCTGGCGAGCCAGCGGGTCCAGGCGGGAGGCGCCGGGCGCCGCAGCCGCTCCACGAGCGCTGCGGGGCTCTGCAATCGGGTCGGGCAACAGGGGGGGATAGCAAAGGGGGGGGGGAGAATCAGCTCGCGTAGCTGATTTTCCTGGCGCCTCCCGGCGCCGGAGGCCCCTCGGTGGGGCCGAAACCAGCTGCATGCAGCAGATTTCGTACCCCCCCCCCTTTCCCAATCCCCCCTTTCGTCCGGCCCGATCCAGGGGCGCTCCAGGGCGCGCCGTGAAACGAAAGTGGCCTCACGTCTGGGCGCGCCCGTAGCCGATGCTGACAACGCTGGGAGCATGTTCCCCCGTTCTTAACAGGCTCGATGTTCGGCCGAGCAGAACGGGGAAGCAAGACATGTATAAATGCATGCAATATGTATATATATATATGTATACACATTTATGTGAATATACATATATCGAGATGTCTATATAATTTAATGCTGGCATTGGGTCTTGGGGCCATCTGAGGGGCGCCTTTTCGGGGATATCATGCACACCCCAGAACGCCAGTACCAACGCTACTAGCATCGTGACCCCTCAGCTAGCCCTAGGAATGCTGAGGGGCAAGCGGACGGAGAACCCAGCAAGGGTGCGAATGCAGGAAGACACGCCAAGGTCGCAAGCCCAGCTGCTTGAATGAGCGTCGCCGGTATGCCGCTGCCCTGGCCAGTCACTGCATAATTACCTCGCACCGCATCCTGCCAGCTGTCCTTGCCAGGGTACTCCCCTGACCGAAACCACAAAGTGCCAGACCATGTGGCGCCATTCGTTGCGCCAACGGCAAGACCGAGCTCAAAGTTAACGATCAGTCAAATATGCACACAAGCACCATCTCCGCTTACGCAAACAGACACGCCAAGGTAGCAAGCCCAGCTGCTTGAATATGCCTCGCTGGTATGCCGCTGCCCTGGTTGGTCACTGCGCCGAGCGCTGCCAAGAGGAAAGAGTGGCAAAGGGGTGAAGAGGGCACACGATGCCAGGGGGGAGAAGAGGGAAGGGGAAAGAAGGACAGGCTGCTGCAGGGGGCCGTCTGGGGGCGCCGAGACGACGGCGGTCCGGGGGAGAGCTGGCGGCCCTTGTGCAGAGGAGGGACAAGCTGGCGACCCTGCCCGTGCTCGGGAAAGCGAGCTCGCAGGAAGGCGGGCGCGGAGGGAGGGGGAGGGGGAGGGAGGCGGAGGCGGGGGGGGGGGGCGTCGCTGCCGCAACGGGCCACGGCCACGAAAGGGGCCCTGGCCCGCGCAGGCCTCGAAGCCGAGGGGACGAGACGACGCTCTCTGCATCGACCGAGGGCGCGCCCTGCGCCTCACAGGCTCAGCCGCACGGGAGCCGGCGGCGGCGGCCCCTCGGCCGCGGCCTCGGCCGCGGCCCCCGCGGGCCCCCTGCCCTCGGGCCCTGGCGGGCGCTGCAGGCTGCCCAGGCTGGTGCGGGGCGTGACCGGCGGGGTGCCCCGCGTCGACGGGCGCTCGGGCGCCCGCCTCCGCGCGCGGATGTCCTGGAGCACGAGGCGCACGACGCCCTGGCTGTGCGGCTGCTCGCCAGGGGGTGGTGTCAGGTCCAGCCTCGGGAGGGCCGAGATCGGCGGCGTCCGCTGCGGGCGCAGCCCGCGTGCGGCCGCGGGGGCGGAGCACCTGATGTGGAGTCGCTTGCCGTACCGCCTGTGGACAGAGCCGGATCCCTCCTGCAAGAGGTCGAGATATGCCAGCTGCGCCCACTCTATAAAATCTAACCTCTGGACTGGCTTCAGCGCGGCCAGAAACTCGCTGTCGGCTTGCAAATGTTGAGCGAATGCGGGGGTGGTGTGCCTCACAGTGTAGTCCGGGGTAAGGACGTCGATCCAGCCCACAGCCTCCGCCTTGATTAGGAACTCCACGTCCCCCGCGGGAGCATCGGGGTTCACGTCCGACGAATCTTCAGAAGACCCATCTGCCAGCCTGGCTGGGGGTGGGAAACCCACCACTGGGGCGTAGCCATGCTGTCCGTCGCCATTGATCGCTTCCGCCGCACTACCCTTTGTGAACATCGGGGCGCTGTCGGTAAACTCTCGGATGCCGACGAAATACGCCGCTTGCGCGCCCCGAGTCACAAATCTCATGGAGTACACCTCGACTACAAGAGCGATGCTGGAACTGTCCTTCATGGAAACGTGGAAGGCCGCGCACTGCTCCGCGCTGTCCAGGCAGGCCTGGCTCAGCTGCTCAGTGAACTTCTGGCGGTCCTGCGGAGATGCCAGGAACGACCTGACGTCCTCGCCCAGGAGGGACCGCTGCGAGTTCAGCAGGAGCATGTCCACGAGCCTGGGCGACTCGACCTGCAGGCAGAAGTCGCTGTCGAGCTCCACCACCACGTCGCAGACGGTCCGCAGCACCGAGTGGGCAGCCTGCAGCTCGTTCCTCGAGATGCAGGCCTCCATCTCGTACTGCGCGGCCAGGCGGATGAACCTGTGAATACAAGTGACACAACCTGCAATGATCATGCCCGACATGGCAACGTGCGTCCCGTTCTGGAAGGGCGACAGGCCGCCGGCGCAGCCCTCGCGGCCCCTGAGCGGGCGGTCATAGCCGAACAGGATCGAACTGCAGCTCGATGCGGTCAAGGCACAGACCCACAGGAGATTCAGCCGCAAGTTCAGATTGAACATGCTGAGCAGCATTGCAGCTGCAAATGGCAGCAAGGCAGACGGGGCCGCATGCTGTCGTTCTAGGGCGAGTGGCGATGCCCACATCACGATGCACGCTGCAAGCATAGAGGACCATACGTCCAAAGTAGTCAGTGTCACCACGGTCGGGAATGCCGCAAGAAAGAGAAGTATGAAGCACGCCACCAAAACGGAGACGTCCTGCACGCAGGAGTGGAAGCGAAGGGATGGTTGCATTATCCGTATGGAGGTCACGCCTACAACAACGAAGGCGGCGAAGACGCCATATTGAATCCAGCCGTGGGCGTGAGTCAGCCTTCTTTTCTGGAGCTCCTTCGCGACGGACGCACTGTCTATGAGGGAGCGCCTGCACACCCTGGCAAAATGGCCCAGTCGGCAGCCCAGCGAGAATGGAGCTAAGCTGCGCCTCGCCAGACCCGCCACGCGGACCACCAGCAGAGAGACGCCGAGCACGTACCAGACGGCGCACGAGAGAGCAACCGCTGTGCGGCGAGAGCTATCCTCCAAGAAGTTCTGGGAGGCGGTATCCATGGTCCCCTGGAACAGGACGGCTCGCGCACTCTGCGATCTGACGCGGTTGAGCCAACACGACTTGAGCCAAAATGGCTGTGGGCTCAGAGGGCTGGGGCCATGGGACCCAGGGTCCATGAGCCGAAGGGCCCGAGAGCATTGGGCACTGGAGTCTGAGGTACACGGGGTTCTTGGCCCTGATATCCACGGACCAAGAGTATGAGCCCTCGCGCCTTCTACGGCACATGCATCCAAGGCCTTGGAGCAGGAGGCGATGGAGCCCGAGGCCCCGAAATCGGAGGCCGTGGAAGGGAATCTGAAGCCCAGGAGCCTTCGTCCCTGGAGTCGAAGGCCCATGGATCACGGGCCCCAGTCTAGGGCTCAAGAAGCTTCGGCCCAGGAGTCTAGGGCCCAGGAGTGCAGGGCTCAAAGTCGAAGGCTATGCGTTCTGGACGCTAGAATAAAGCCGAAGGCCCTGCAGTCTCTGGGGCCCCGAAGCCTAAGGCCACGAAGTCTTGGGCCCTGAAGTTCTCAGGGATATGGAATCCACGGCACTCGAACCTGAGGCCCAAGAGTTGTGCGCCCTGGTGTCTAGATCTAGAGTCCAGGAGCTCTGGGCCTTCGAGCATAGGGGCCAGGAGTCTTGAGCCCTGGAATCTAAGAGCACAGAAGTCTGGGCCCCAGGAGATACGGGCCCATGAGACTAGAGCCCTGGAGTTTAAGGCATAAGAGTCCTGGGCCATGGGGTCTAAGGCCGAGGAGTCGAGGGCAGTGGAGTCCAGGACACACGAGACCTCGGTCTTCGAGTCGAAGGCCAAGGAGTCTTGGGCCCTATTGGGTCTAGGACCCAAGACTCCGACTTAAGGCCAATAGTCTGGGGCCCTAGAGTCTTGGGCCCGGGCGTATTGGGCCTTGGCGCAAGAATGAATTTTGGGACCATGGGGCCCATGACCCTGCAATTCTGGGGCACTCGAGTCTCGGGCCCGGGAGTCTTGGGACCTGGAGACTAAGGCCCCGCAGTCCAAGGCCCTAGAGCCTGGGGCCCAGGAGCCCCCCCCTGCAAAAACATGCGCAGGCACCCCCCCACAGCGTCTGAAACCCCCACCGCCAGATCCCTGCTGGAACCTCCCGGCAACCCCCCAGGCGACTGACAGTCCCACCCAAGAGCCCTGCTGGAAACTCTGTTAGAAAGACTCCCCACCCTGCAAGAACACGCGCCGGCACCCCCCCACCGCGTCTGACACCCCCATTCTACGATGCCCTGCTGGACTCTCTGTTTTAGCGACCCCCCACCCTGCAAAAACACGCGCCGGCACCCCCCCACCGCGTCTGACACCTCCACCCTACAGGGCCCTGCTGGACACTCTATCTTAAAGCCCCGCCACCCTGCAAAAACACGCGCCGGCACCCCTTCACCGCGTCTGACACCCCCACCCTACAGGACCCTGCTGGATCCTTTGTTAGCAACACCACACCCTGCAAAAACCCGCGCCAGCACCCCCCCACCGCGTCTGACACCCTGACACCCCCACCCTACAAGTCCCTGCTGGACTCTCTGTTTTAGGGACCTCCCACCGTGCCGCCCCCCCCCCCACAGCGTCTGACACCCCCACCCCACAGCGTCTGACACCCCCACCCTGTTTTGGGACCGCCCACCTTGCAAAAACTCGCGCCGGCCCCCCCCCCACCGCGTCTGACACCCCCACTCTGCAGGGCCCTGCTGGAACCCCTGTTTAAGGGGCCCCCACCCCGCAAAAACACGCGCCGGCCCCCCTTCGCCGCGTCTGACACTCCCACTGCACAGGGCCCTGCTGGACTTTCTGTTTTAGGAACCTCCCACCCTGCAAAAACACCACCGGCACCCCCCCACCGCGTCTGACACCCCCACCCTACGAGCCCTGCTAAACTCTGTTTTAGGGCCCCCCCCACCCTCCAAAAAAACACGCGCCGGCTCCCCCCCCCCCGCAACTGACGCCCCAAGCTATAGGGCCCTGCTGTGCCCTTTGTTTTCGATACGTCCCACTCTGCAAAAACACGCGCTGGCACCCCGCCACCTGCATCCCCACCCTACAGGGCCCTGCTGGACGCTCTGTTTGATGGACGCCTGCAAAAACACGCGCCGGCACCCCCATGCCGCGTCTGACACCCCAACCCTACAGGCCCCTCCTGGACTGACACTCTGTTTTAAAAGCCTCCCCCACCCTTACAAAAACGCACGCCGGCCCCCCTACGCCGCGTTTGACACCCCCCACCGTACAGGGCCTTGCTGGACCCTCCATTTTAGGGACTCCCCACCCTGCAAGAACACGCGCCTGCACGCCCCCCACCGCGTCTAACACCCCCACCCTACAGGGCCCTGCTGGACCCTTTGTTTTTGGGACCCCCCCCTGCAAAAACACGCACCAGCACCCCCCCACCGACCGCGTCTGACACCCCCACCCTACGGGGCCCTGCTGGACCCTGTCTTGGGGACCGCCCACTCTGCAGAAACACGTGCTGCCCCCCCCACCCACCCCACCCCACACCGCGTCTGACACCCCCATCCTACAGGGCCCTGCTGGACCCTTTGTTTTAGGGACCCCCACCCTGCAAAAACATACGGCGGCAACCCCCCCACCGCGTTTGACACCCGTGCCCTACAGGGCCAAACTGGATTCTCTGATATAACGACCCCGCACCCTGCAAAGACGCGCGCCGGGACCCCCCCACCGCCCGCAGTACCCTGCTCAACCTACGTTTCACAACCCCCACCCTACAAAAACACGCGCCAGCACCTCCCCACAGGCCGCGTCTGACACCCCCACCCTACGGGGCCCTGCTGGACCCTGTCTTGGGGACCGCCCACTCTGCAGAAACACGTGCTGCACCCCTCCACCGCACCCCACCCCACACCGCGTCTGACACCCCCACCCTGCAGGGCCCTGCTGGACCCTTTGTTTTAGGGACCCCCACCCTGCAAAACATGCGCCGGCAACCCCCCCACCGCGTTTCACACCCGTGCCCTACAGGGCCAAACTGGATTCTCTGTTTTAACGACCCCGCACCCTGCAAAGACGCGCTGTTCAACCTACGTTTCACAACCCCCACCTTGCAAAAACACGCGCCGGCACCCCCCCCACCGCTAACGCCCCCACCCTACAAGGCCCTCTGTTTCAAGGATTCCCCACAATGCAAAAACATACGCTGGCACCCGCTCCGCCGCGCCAGACACCCTGATGGCCCTTCCGTATTAGAGACCCCCCGCCCTGCAGAAACGCGTGCCGGCCCCCCCCCCACCGCGTCTGACGCCCCCACTCTGCAGGGCCCTGCTGGAACCTCTGTTTTAAAGACCCCCCGCCCTGCAAAAACATGCGCCAGCCGCCAGCACCCCCTTGCTGGACCCTCTGGCACAAGGATCCCCCACCTTACAAAAAAAAACGCCAGCACGCAGAAACAAGCGCCGGCGCCTCTTCACCGCGCCCGACACCCCCACCGTACAGACCCCTGCTGGACTCTCCGTTTTAGGGACCTCCCACCGTGCACAAACACCACTGGCGCCCCCGCACCGCGTCTGACCATCACCTTACGAGCCCTGCTGGACCTTTTGAAATCAAGACCACCCACCCTGCAGAAACACGCGCCAGCACCCCACCACCACGCCTGACACTCCCACTCTACAAGGCCCTGATGGACCTTTGTGTTCGGGATTGTCCGCCCTGCAACAACACGCGCCGCCCCCCCCCCCCCCCACCGCGTCTGACACCCCGCCCTACAAAAAACTACTAGACATTTTGTTTAAGGGATCCCCCACCTTGAAAAAATACGCGCCGGCACCTCCTCACAGCGTCTGACACCCCCACCCTACAGGGCCCTGCTGGACCCTCTGTTTTAGGGGTCCCCTACCCTGCAAAAACACGCGCCGGCACACCTTCACCGCGTCTGACACTCCCACCGTGCAGATCCCTGCTGGACTCTCTGTTTTAAGGGGCCCCCACCCTGCAAAAACGCCCGCCGGCACTGCCTCATCGCGTCTAACACCCCCCACCCTGCGAGCCCCGCTGGAACCTCTGTTTTAGGAGCCCCCACCCTGCAGAAACATGCGCTGGCCCCCCCCCCGCCGCCTCTGACACACCCCACTCTACAGGGCCCTGCTGGACCTTCGTTTTCGGGCCCCCCACCCCGCAAAAACGCGCGCCGGCACCCCCCCGCCGCGTCGGACACCCCCACCCTGCACGGTTGCCACCCCCATGCTGCAAACAGCCTCGACGGATTCCCCCCCGCGCTTCCACTGCGCCTTTCCCGCGCCTCCGCCACGCCTAATTACGCCCCCACCACGCCCGACCACCTTCCCACAAATTTTGCCAGGACCCTGATAGAATTCTGGGCCCACGCCCCGAGGTGCTCTCAACACGCTGCGGGCCTTTGCCGATAGAGAGATCCCCCGACGGACTTCACATGCGCCATGCGGACTCGAAGTCTGCCAAAGCGACCCCCATGTCCGTCGAAACAACGAGTCCCTTGCGCCACAGTGGCTACGAACAAAAAGCGAAACCCAAGCCTATGACCTGGGCCGCCGCACCTGCCCCCTTACCACCTGACGGTTTCGAGCTACATCGTTTTCATCTTCGCCATTGTCTTCCGACTCCTTTCGGCGACCTCTTTCTTCCTGCGTTCTTCATGCGCGAAGCACTTGTTGCGCCTTTGTTTCCCGTTTGATTTCTTCGACGCCCGCCCAGCCAGCCGGCGCCTGAATTCCAATTTGGGCAGCGCGCCGTTGCAGGCCGTGCGCTGCCGACGCCCGCGCTGCTTTGACGCCCCCTTCACGCAGCCCTCGCGCTCGGGATGTTTGTCTGCGACGTTCGTCCACGCCCCCCTCGGGAAGGCGGGCCCCCCTTCTCCCCGCCGCGCGCCATGCGCAACTTCACCCCTGCGCGTCTCGCCATGTCTTTCTCAGCCCTGTCGGCGTCGCCCCGCTGCGCGCGCCCCATGCGCGCTCGCGGCCTCGGCCTCTCTCTTTTTTTTTTTCTCTCTCTCTCTCTCTCTCTCTCTCTCTCTCTCTCTCTCTCTCTCTCTCTCTTTCTCTCTCTCTCTCTCTCTCTCTCTCTCTCTCTCTCTCTCTCTCTCTCTCCGCATGTTCGAA